CGTCATTGGCGAAACGAACGCATCGTGTGCAGTGGATACATCTGTTCATGGAAGTTTTGATCAAAGGACCAATATTTTTATCCTCTACAGCACGCTTTCCTCCAACTTCGTGGAATCTTCCTCGGTCAGCACCATATCTCATTGATTGGTCCTGGAGGTCACATTCTCCTCCCTGGTCACAAATGGGACAATCGAGTGGGTGGTTTGCGAGTAAGAATTCCATAACGCCTTCTCTGGCCTTGTGTACTAGAGGGGAGTTCGTCTTGACCACCATTCCGGGCTGAACGGGCCACGCACATGAAGCGACTGGCTTGGGGGCTCTTTCGACTTCAACAAGACACATTCGGCCTAAACAGATAACTGTAAGCTAAGGAAAATTCATGAGGTATCAGAGAATTAGATCAGCGTACAATTTCCTGCAATCAATAGTTTCCTTTTCGGGAGATGTTTCAGCGGCGTTCCTTTTCTCGGTAATGCCTGGGTTAAATATAACTTACTCATGGTAACAATATCTATAACGATAAATTAGCAATTTAGGTACAATAGCGGCATTATTGATATAACGTACCTAGGGACTGTAGAGCCAGCCTTCTCACAGGCCTGGATGAGCGCCGAACCAGCTGAATGGTCTAGTCAGTATGTCGTTGGGAATAACCGTGGGGGTAAGCGCAATACCTTCTATCGATACCTTCTTGCCATCTAAAAGCATCAATAATGAGTTAGCAGAGTATCCAGTAATTCAACGATATAAGCTACCGACCAATTGTGACTTCGACCTCCGCCTGCCTAGCACCCGTCGTGCTGAATGGACGGGAGCAATTGAGGGCCGTCCATCTCCTCGATCGTGCGGCGACACGGAACAATTGTGGCCGCATAGCTGGCAAGATAGAGAAAGAGACAGCCTAATCAGAAACAGGACACCGATATGAAGGGAGGGTCGAGGACCGTGAAGGCTTGCGTGACGGAGCGACTGCTACGAGCGATGCAATGAAGACTTCGACGTCCGTCTTGCTTCGACTTTATTTGTTGCTTCTTTTGCTTCGTCTCTGGCTTCATTCAAATCCTCTGCATCTAATTGGCTGAAGTCGGCGGAGCGGAATAACATGCATCCGCCCTAGGCTCCGCGACACATAAATTGAAAACTGCACCTATTCTCGCTTTCATTTCTTCTTTTTCCCTCTTTTTTCCTCCAACTCATTTTAAACGGACATAGATTATTGTAGGTGGAGGGTATGCTCTCTCAGGAGATGCTGCCAGCCCTTCCTCCTCTACAGTGTGATCCGAGAGCAGATCCTGCACCGTAGCTGGAGCTCCCTAGGGTTACTTGTTAACCTTGTTATGGAACAGTTCCTTACCGACGGATGCTACACAGATCAAGTAACAAACTAGACAGAGATGATTCAAAATATAGACAAATATGATGTTATTCATTTATTTTTCACTCACAAAAAACGGAGTTGTAAGGTATATAAATTCTATCCAATCCTCCGAATTACCAAAAACGGCAGAGAAGCCATTGGGTTTCGCCGCCTGCAGGACGCCGTATCGTGCAATTAAACAAGCAATAAAGTATTAACAAGAATGAATAAAAGGGGGAAAAAGCGTATGCCCCGAATCCCTTCTAAACTCCACGAACCCTTCGGAGGAAGAGAAAGAAAAACAATGAGACGAGAAAAGGAAAAAAAAAAAAAAAAAACATGATAGGTAGCATGAGCATATATTATTTCTGGGGCGTGGAGGATGCATCACCAGGTTGCCATGTAGACTCTTGCTTAGTCCCTGGTGGTAGCCATGGGCGAGCTATGCTATTCCTCCTCGAAACACCGTTAGTTTTGTCATCTTCCTTTTTGCCATTGACGTCCATAGGATGGATACCCAAGCCACCCACTGAGGGGGGAGGGAAGGTATATCCGTTGGAGTTCCAGACTTTGGCTGGGCCGTTGGAAGCAGTGTTGAGAGGCAGGATGGTATTATTCTTGTGGAAGTGGTCCGCATTGGCCCGTCGATCTGCTGCATCGTCCTGCTTGTTCCTGTCATACAGATATAGGCCGAGGAAAGTGAGGGCAATACCGAAGGCCTGTATGGGCGTCGTGGCGTTGCCGAACCAGACAATGGCAACAACGACGACGAAAACTCGTTTGATTAATGAAGCAACTGAATATGACACTGGTGAGATCATGGAGAGTAGGACAAATGCCATGATGTTCTGTGCAAAATGGAAAACACCGTTGAAGATAAATTCCAGCATCAATGGGCCGTGATCAAGGGCGCCTTTCTTGTTTGATAGGCTGATAGAGCCAGAGGATAGGAAGTCGATCATGAGCGGATAGCCTTCGGATAGGAACCAAATCGGTAGGGTCAAGATGAACGCGAGACCAGAACAATAACATAAAAGGTTGAGTTTATCTAGCTTTGTGTCTCCTGGTGATTGGCCATCTGCCTCCGCTCGCGCAGCTTCATTAAAAAGTTTCTTTGAGAAGATATTCTGTGCAACGAAAACAAGAGCTGCTGCAAGGGCACAGATAATCCCAAAGAGGTTTGTTGAGAACCCAGCTGAACAGGCAAGCATGACTCCCAAGGTAAGAGGGATGAGAGAGAGGTACGTAGCTCTAGCATATCGAATGCGGAAAAAGATACGATATGCGAGGACTGTGAAAAGCGGAGAGAGCCCCTTGATTGTATGAACGAGTGATACGGGTATTTGCGAGGTCGACATAGAGCTGAGTATGTGGCCCAGTAATTGGAATCCAGCCAGTGGTAGCGCTGTTGAGATGATGGCGTATGAGGGATAACGGATCTTGTTTTTGAGGACGGGAACAGCAGTTTTTAGCATTGGAAAGACGGACGCGAGGTATGCAAGAAACAGACACCATGTTGATACAAATGCAAATTGAACAATCGTAAGCGTTATAGGTTTTGGAAGTGCCATGAGGATAGATTTCGAGGAAGTATTTGTGAGCGCTGATGTCATGTACCAGACCAAGCAAAGACCCTGGAAACCAATCAATTAGCAATGGAGCGTCATCATACCTGCCTCACAAGCTCTTCAGGCCACACTCACAATAAGTTTATAAGAAATTGGTGCCTTTAACGATTCTGCCAGCTCCTGGGCATTGACGCTGACGCTAGTTCCCCGAGTCCTGAATGACCCCAGAGCCTCACTGATACTCTTCCGGGGACGATGCGAACGCTCGAAAGGCTGTGGGCCCCGTGAGTAGGCCCTGCTCTTCCGTGGCTGCCATAATGATTCCCCCGCGTACTTGATCGTGGATGGCAAGAAAACGCTCTCTCCCTTCTGTTCAATCAGTGCGTCGTCATCGCCCAGAGTAGGGAATTTCTCGGTCGTAGAGGTGTCGGCGGTCATTTGAGGTGGCCAGGAGGGTGGCAGACCTGAGGACTTCTGCTGCCGTGTATCGACAAGCGTTGTAACGCTCATTATCAGCTTGGTCGATTTAGTGCTGCGCTGTGGTTGGACATATCACCACTTGTTCGCTGCTTGCTCTGCTTGAAAAAAGTTATGGGATGAGAGGAATGCGTGTACAAGGCAGACCAAGCGGCACCCTTGATTGGCCGGGACAACACGTGTTTTTGCAGGCTCACGGGCGAGCGGATGAGTCAGCAGATATCGATAAATATAAGGATGGATGCAAGGTACTCCGTATGGAGTACGGAGTAAAGATAATGCAAAAGATCTGATGCAAGAAGAACATTATAAAAAGATCTGGATGGGGGTATAGACACCTGACAGATGCGGAGAAAGATGGATACGAGAATATACAGAGATAAACCCAGACATGTCTCAAGTTGCTCTAACAAGCCTCCGTCGGAATGGATTTACTAGGCTATCACGTGAACACTCATATGATAAGATACTTGTTATCTAGCTGGGGAGCGCGGGCCCAGCCCACCGAGGTTCTCCTGTTCATGTCATTGACATCTACCGCCGACTACTTGGTGTGGCTACGTCCTACTTTTCACCCTGCTGCCCATGGGTACTTTGATAGCCGCCCTTGCTATTTATAGCCGCCGCCATGAGGGTAATTACATAAGCAGCGGCTAACTTTCACGTGACGTGCGGATTTCCAACCCAAAACCAAGTTTTGAGCCTCCATTGGATCTTGTTCTTGGGGCAAAAAAACCACCCGAGGTCGTAACACTTCATCCCCTCCACCCCATACCGCCACTAGTGACTATGTTTGGTTTACCAAAACTAACTTCATGCGGGAAGTCTCGCCAGACAAAGCCTGTCATTCTCGCTTTCTCACTCGTCCGGCCACCCGAAGAATGTTCTCCATGGGAGCGAAGAATGACCTCTGTCTTGTTCAACCTGACAGGGGACCAATGATAGCTCCTTGGACATGAGATATGCAGCCATGAAATAGTCTTCTACTAAGACGGCTGGCGGAGTGTCGGTGAGCCCCGCAAGGAAAGCATCACCAAGTTAACTAGGAAACAATTTGGGAAGTGGTGTTATACCCCATAGTAATGTCGGCTCCTACGCCACCAGCCTGGAACGCAAGACTACCAAAATTTGATACTGTGTACAGTACCACCGAATTATGACTGGGCTATCCTACGGATTCTCCCTGCCTGAGGAACTGGCCTGAAAGTTCAGGAGTTGGGATCTCATACGGCGATCGCTACAGCTTGGTTGACTTTTCAGTGAAGGGTCTGGTCATCCAACAGAAGCTGACGACTTTTCCTATCTGGATTCTTGACGTTGAACGAAGCTATTTCGGCCAAAAAGGCTAACCTTCGGCTTTGTCTGCGAATCCTCCAGTGCTTCATCCAGCTGACCTCCCAACCTCGCAGTCATAATGAGGGGAAGTACTTCGAGCCAAGGCGAATCGAGGCTTGAACTGTTGTCCGGTTCAAAATATTGTCACAAAAGACTTGACGAAATTCCCAATATTTTGACCACGCAGTGATACCTGGCGTCATTTAGCCAGCCCAAGTCGAAATTATCAAAAAGCAGACGATACTAACTTACGGGGTTAAAAATGCATATAATGCCATCGTTTGTCCTCTGGACATTCCACCTGTGCTCTCAGTGGTTCCAAGGTCTTACTGATCTGTTACCTCACATTCCAGATACTGAACCAGTCAACCATTTGGTCAGTCAGACTGGATTATTGCATCCGGGAGGTATGAAGTACTCTAAGGTAGCCCCTTGGGTCTGCATCCCACTGTTGACATGCCGCGGTGTCGGTGCAACGAACTCAGCGGACGGTGGCTCCGATCTACAGCTTAATGAGAGTCCGTTTTCTAAGAGCTGGCAGGTTCTTGGACCGTTTGAAATAGGAACGAGGGGTACGTAATTTAGCTCTGTGCCTAAGCATTATCACTAACATTGTTTCTTAGAATCATCTTGGGGTGCTGACCCACTGGAAGCATATGGTGGCTTCCAAACGCTGCAATATGACCCAAAGGCCAGCTTTGACAGCTCTCTGGCACTTAACGGTCTTGCAAATTGGTCAATAGCTTCGACGCATGTCAATTCAACTGCTGACCCTCCCGAGACTATACTCGATATCAATTTATCCCCGGATAACTTGACATCTCTTCAAGAAGTCTACGGCTGGGATGCAAAGCAGTACCAAGCCTGGGCACGTGGAACATTGACTGTTTCTAAATCCAACTCCGTGGTCGCTTTGTATACGGATAGGATCTGGGAATATCGAATTGACAACAAATCATACTTCGGTGGGGACTTTTTTGGTTTTCGCAGAGCACCACTTCTTCTGGATTTGTCCCCTGGAACTCACACTGTTGACCTCCGTGTGGTCCGCGATGTCAGAGCTCTTGGAGCCGTTGGCGAACCGTTTATCAATGTTACGCTCATTGCACAGGAGTTGTCTAAAACACTAATTGTGGACGAAAAGAGTATTCTTGTTGCGGATGTTGTTGAAAATCGTTTGATTAGCCCATATGCTTCCGTTACTCTCCATAATACTATTGGAAATCCTGTTGATGTGGTTGGCATCAAGGAAGATAGCACCCAGGTTAGGATCATCCATGCTATACTCTTATCACACAACTAACCACTTATAGGCCGCCAGGTTTTCTTTGAAAATGTTAAACAATCATGTGAAACTTGAGGGAGCACAATCTCGCGCAATTGGCTTTACAGTTGAGGCGAACGATAAAACCAATGTTCCAGCGTCGGTGTCTTTATACTTCGAGTATACGACCCCTGGTAGCTCCAGCGTTCAGAGGACGCAACCAATGACCATCACTTTTACAAGGAGAAAGCTGCCAGAAGTTCAACAAAATACTTTCGTGCTGCCAGGAGGAGTAGTCTCTTATGCCACTATGCGGCCTCCTACATCCTTAGAATGCAATAAAAACAAAAGCGCAAAACTTCCAGTTTTGCTAGGTCTTCATGGAGCAGGACAGGCTGCAAGTGATGAGATAATTCGCACTATGCTTGATGGTGTGTCTGACATATGTGCATGGACCTTATTTCCCAGTGGTGTGACACCTTGGAGCGGAGATGATTGGCGTAGGTTTCGATCCCTCGGTGGTTAAGATTCATGGCTAACAGGTTACCTTCAGATACTTGGGGATTTGCCGACTTACAGCACTCAGTCCGAGCACTTAATGACTACATTAAATACAGTGGTTGGACAGGAGTCGGGGTTATCGACAGTGATTGGGTTATAGCCGGACACTCAAATGGCGGTAAGTATAGACTGCTATTTTTGTTTAATATTGGAATCTAACTAGAAACAGGCCAGGGAACATGGTATACCATCTCACATTACCCCGATAAAATAATTGCTGCAGCACCTGTTGCAGGTTATACCTCGATAGAAAGTATGTATCCTCCCCATTTCATATTGCTCCATGACTAATCGTACATTTCAATAGACTATGTCCCATACTCCATGTGGCATAACACAGACTCATTGCTGGCATCTACATTTTATCGGGCGCGCCAGGACTTTAAACATGAGATTCTAGTTGATAACTTTGCTGGAATTCCGGTCTACCAACAGCATGGTGCCTCTGACGATAATGTGGTTGTGTACCATTCTCGGCTGATGCATAGGTTGTTGCAAGAGAGCGGTTCACCCTCGAAGTATCATGAAGTGCCAGGTAAAAACCACTGGTACACCGGAATTATGACTTCCGACTTCCTTAAGGATTTCTATCGTACATATGTTCAGCGCCCAAATGCCACTGACCTTCTTCCTCAAAGATTTTCGGTCACTCTCCCACCTGCAGGTCATATGGGTACCAGAGGCGGTATATATGTTGATCAATCACATACCCCTGACCGAGTTGGCTCTATCGAGGTTGAGCGAAGTATGACCAATGACGGAGTCTGGAAGTTAAAGACACGAAATATCCGCCGTTTCCACCTCGAGACCAGTGCAATCAGATCACATGTTCCACTGTATATCCAGATAGATGGCTCTAGATTTACAGTCACTCCTAGCAACTCTACGACAACATGGTACACACAAGATGCCGCTGGGAAGTGGACATCGGGTGGTGACTCCTGGCGTACTATTTCACAGAGATATGGCAGACAGGCTGGTGTGAATGCTTTCCTCCGCACAGAAGCGCCGTTTACTGTGACCGCTGCAGCTCAGGAAACTCGAGATCTCGCCCTGCAAACCTGCCGAAATTTATTCCAGTACTTGTCAGCCGATTGCATCATTTCGTATGCTGTGCCCACTGCCGACTCCACGACTGCTACTAGCTTGGCAGGTAACAACGTCACCATCTTGCTCGGTGCTCAGCCAAATGGATACACAGCGGGCGACTCTGCTATATCAATATCAGCACGATCGCTGGATATCAAGACTTCCCAGGGAACAACAAGTTATCCCTTTGAGTCGGGTCTCGGTGCTATCTTCATACGCCCCTTGGTAAATGAACGTTTAGAGCTAGTTATTTGGGGATCCGACATGGCCGGCCTTCAACAGGCTGCTCGTTTGGTGCCTGTCCTCACAGGAGTCGGCCAGCCTGACTTCGTGGTTGTCAACAAGGGGACCCCATTGAAGGGACAAGGCTCTCTCTATGCTGCTGGCTTCTTCGATTCTGAGTGGAAAGTCTCTGCGGCCTCTTATGTCTCTTGAGCTTGAGTAGATAGGCCTGCTGTCTATGTGGCAGACAAACCAAGTACAATGTAGGGCTCCTAACATATACAATAGACAGCCCTTAAACAATGATATAGCGATATATGTGCCTCTCGTCCACCCAATGCAGACTCTGCTATGCCCCCTGCTCCACTGATACCCTTATACCATTATACCTCTCTATAACCCTTGTAGTTATATCTGTTTGCGTACTATATCCATGCTCTCCATAGCCCTAGGGGCTTGCCGGCGCCGCGTGGTTAGACCAGCGACTAAGCAGCAAGCTGACTTTGCCTTTATTTCCTTCTGCCACCGCCCTTCCCCTTTTGGCCTCCCACAACTTCAACTTCAACTTCTCGGCTGCTACAAAAACCAACAACGTCAACATCAACGTCAACGTCAACGTCGCGCTCTCTTCAACCTCAACCTCGCCTTCTGCTGCTCGCCAGTCGGACTTTCTCGTTCTCTTTGTTATTTTTGTTCCATGTATCTTGATCTCAACTCATACTTTCTCTTTTAGTCGGCTCTTTCTGTTTTATCTTCTTCTCCAGATCTTCCTCTGTCTTCCTCTTCGTTTTTTTTTTTTTTTTTTCTTTTCTTTCTCAACCTGAACTTCTTCCATCTACTTCACAGCATACTTGTTTGGTTTCTCTTCATCTACTGTGCCTCTACAGCTTCATTCGATTCTCTGCTGCGTTGATTACAGTCTCTCACACGCGTTGACGTGTCAGTTTTCTGCGATATCAGAGCCTGGTGGGTGGCTTTTTCTCGGTTCTTTGCATATTATCCTGCCCCTCCCAACGCATCCGAGCTGCTGGACTTGGATCACTTCCTTGTGGATCTCATTCTATCTACTGATTTCTTTACTTATTACCCTTACTTGTCTGAAAAGCGTGTTGAAGTGGTCATTATCATGTCTTACAAAGTCATAATCTCTTCTAACGCGTCTCAAAAGCCATCTACTCAGTGCAAAGCTCACGTTGACCCTACAGGTATTCCATCACACGGGCGTCTAGGCTCGGTAGGTATCTCCTAATTGGCACCTTTGTTGTGTATAGACTCAGGCCATCGACATAGGAGGCAATTTCTAACTTGGCAATAGGGAACGATGAATTTGAGCTCGATTACCACTGGAACCAACCCCCTTGTCTCGTCTAAACTGGGGAACATTCAAAACACGCCTCCGGTCGGGGATGATAAGGTGAATGAATAATGGCTTATAACGTACACACTGCATGGTTTCAAAACTTGTAGCTAACTTTCTTAGAAAATGAAGGCTGATCAACCTGGATCTTCCGTTCCCCAGTCTGTCATGGACCAAATTCTTGCAAAGCTGTCTCCAAAAGACGGCAAATCAGGTGGTTCGGCTGGTGACCCGGCCACCAAACCTATGGATACCCAGCCGCGTTTGGCAAGACAGCCATCTGGGGAAAATCGCCCTTCTCATGTAAACCATACGGAGTTAACTCCTACAATTGAAGGCCACATCCCGCTTGCCCCTACTACCCAGCCAAACTTGACCATTTGGCAAAATACTGTGAACACCGGAAAAGTGATGGACACTCAGGAGATGTTTCGCTTACAGCAAGAATTGGAAGCTGCGAATTCTCGTATTGCTCTACAAGAGCAAGAGCTTGCTCAGACCCGTGTTATCAAACAAACTCTGGATCAAGCTATGGGACCTCCGTCTGAAGTTGACTTTGGCGGCCGTGAGATTACTGAGCAGACAATTAGCAGCCTGCAGAACGCCTTCAATGCGTCCACCCGCCAGTTCAATCAACGTCAAGAACAATGGGCTATGCAAGATGACGCTCACTCTGACATCTCAGAGGCTGTCTCTGCAGGAGGCTATAATAGAGCTCGTGGCATATGGAACGCTCAATCACAACCACCAGTGAATAACTTTGGAAATTCTGACAAGATCAGCCGTGACTTCATGTTGCATGAATCGAGTATTAGCAGTGATACCGCCCGCAGTTGGGGAACTCGCCCTAGTCAGCCGGGATATAACTCCAATACTGGATTTTCTATTAACCAACGTATGTTTCCGGGACATGCAGGCCCACCGTATGGGTTTGATAACCACTATTCGACAGAACCAGCCCCTCACATTCAGGGACATGGTGGCCGACGAGCCACTCAAGTTAGTCGTGGATCCTCGTGCTTCCCTCCGCAGACCTCGCCATGGGGTACGTTTTCCCCATCCTTGACCTCTGCTAGTTCTATCCCTCGGCCAGCTAGCCAGCAACAGGCTGCAAATTTTCAGCCACAGACTACCTATCCTGCTGTAAACACGTATCAGCCCCGCCCAATTGGCACGCCACTATCCCCAATGGCAGCTGAGTTTAATGCATACCCAGCTACCCCTGGATCCTGGGCACCTTCTGTAAGCACTGAAAATACCGTACGAGCTTCAACTTTAGAGCTGACTTTGCTTTTAGGCCGCCTCCGGAGCCGCTTCCACTTATGTTTCTTCACTTGAACCATTGAACTATCGTCGTCTTCTAGATAAAAGTGTTTCATGCGATTGGAAGTACATCGTGGACAAGATTGTTTGCAACAACGATCAACAGGCGTCCATTTTCCTCCAGCAAAAGCTCAAGGTTGGCACATCCGAACAGAAGTATGAAATTATTGAGGCAATTGCCAATCAAGCATACCCATTAATGATCAATCGATTTGGCAACTTCCTTGTTCAACGTTGCTTTGAGCACGGTACCCCCGAACAAGTTATTTCTATTGCTAATGCTATTCGTGGCAATACATTGAGTCTAAGCATGGACCCCTTCGGTTGCCATGTTATTCAGAAAGCATTCGATTGTGTCCCAGAAGAGCACAAAGCAGTTATGGTGCATGAGCTACTTCGCCGTATTCCTGAGACCGTGATTCATAGATACGCCTGTCATGTGTGGCAGAAACTTTTTGAACTTCGTTGGAGCGGTGAACCGCCACAGATTATGACTAAAGTTAACGAAGCACTTAGGGGAATGTGGCACGAAGTTGCCTTGGGGGAGACCGGGAGCCTCGTTGTCCAAAATATTTTTGAAAATTGTGTCGAGGATGAGAAGGTACGACGGTAAAACTCGAATATCTCTGTGCTATGCTAATCGTTTCAAAGCGTCAAGCAATCGAGGAAGTTCTTGCAAAAATCGACCTACTTGCACATGGTCAATTTGGCAATTGGTGCATTCAACACATCTGTGAACATGGTGCCCCGCCCGACAAGAGCCGTGCGATTGAGCACATTCTGGTTTGGGCCACCGATTACAGCATGGACCAGTTTGCCTCCAAAGTTGTAGAGAAATGTTTGAAGATTGGTGGAACCGAGTTCCTTGATAGATACCTCACCAGAGTCTGCACTGGTCGTCCAGACCGTCCCCGTATGCCTCTGATTGATAGTACGTCCGATCTTAGACAGCTCTTCATCTTCAATTTCTGTACTAACCAGTGGGCCAGTTGCCGGAGATCAGTACGGAAACTACTTGATTCAATGGATCCTTCTCAATGCCTGGGAATCAACACCGTGAGCTAGTTGCAGGTCATATTCGGTTGGTGTATTCACAACCCTTCATCTATTGATTTTCACTAACATAGGCGCATTAGCAAACATATGGTCTCCCTCCGAGGTTCCAAGTTTGGGTCGCGTGTGGCCATGCTTTGCTGCAACCCTAACCATGTTACTCGCCCCGGGCCAGGTGCAGGTATTCAGATTAGTCGCTTTAATTCTCCTTCTGAAGACCGCGGCCCTAGCTCTATGAATGGTGCTAGGTACAACCGCAGCTCTCAGTGGAGCAGCAACTATCCTCCTTTCCGTTAAATCAGATTTCCATACATTTGCTAATAGCATACTGCATGACACAAACTTTCAGTGCTCGGCTATAGCGAATAACGAAAGTGATACTCATATCGGAGTCTAATTTACAGCTATCTTCCTTCTTTCTAGGATTCTCGGGTGCGAGGATGTCGTACTTGGTTCAAAGCCCAAACTCCTCGTATTTGCACGTTGGTTTGTTGAAGGTTCCTTGACAAACATCCGATCTGATTCCTCTTCTTTTCTTTTTTTATCCATCTCTGCTTTTCTTGCCTTTTCCAACTGCTTCTCCCCCCTGTCTGGGTCTACCTTACTTCCTTATTTCATTCTCTTAAATTGTCATATTTGCTGTGAAGATGAACTTATCCAAATAGGCATGGGTAGCTACCTGGTGCTTTGGTTTACCCCAACGGTTCAGTTTCCAACATGTTGTATTCGGCGGAATTACAGGGTGCTATTTCTATCTGTTTCACAGACACGCTCTCTTATCGTCATGGAGCCTCCCCTCCCTTACCTTTTTTTCGCCATTTATCTTTTCTATTTTTGCTGGGAGCCTGCCCAAGAAAAAACTTCCATGGGATTGCGGGTTTGTGGAGGTCAAGGAGTTATTTGGTCATTGATACGCTATGTTTGTATTCGATATCTTCATGTATGATAGCCTTGAGAGCACCTAGTTGCCAAAATTCCAAAGGGGACGTTTTATTATCATTGGTATTAGGGATACTGAAACCGCCGTCTATACATATTGTAATAAATAATGCTCGTATATAGGATAGACCTTTATATCCGCTAAACCCCCAAAATGCGTTCGTCAGTTAGCAGTTACTATGTGCTTTAACACCTAGGCTGTGGCCGAGAGGACAATCATAACACTACACGTCATGTATTCCTTCTCTCATAATAGTGACCCATCGGCAGCTGTATCCAGGACTCTAGGATCTGTCTGGTCTAGTGGGGGCCTAAGCACCACTACCATCCTTAAGGGCGTGGTCAGTCGATATCCCATCTTCATTATGATTCACATCTTTCTTCTTCCCACCCTCTTTCTGGTTACATTCTTGATTTTACTCTCCTCCATCCTTTTCCCACGGCTTCCTCCTCCGCTGAGCCGTACTAGCAGTCTCCTGACCGGTCAACACAGTATCGGGTATCTGCTGGATTCCCGGTATTGGCTGCCCTGTGGTTATAAGCTCCACAATCCGAGCAAACGATGACGGGTATACAGGCTGTCCCTCCTCCGACTTACTCTCCTCTGGCACTGTAGATACAGAGACTGACCCCGACCGCGCTGCTTCATTACCAACGTTGTTATCTGACGTTGAAGGAAGGGGTCTATTTTCGTTTCGTGACTGTGGTTGAAGCCAATGCTGATATGAAGTGTGATCAATTGGAGGCTGGATTGCATATTTCCTAGTATAGTTAGTATATGTCAGTATAATCCATTCTCTGCTCAGTTTTGTGAGACGTACTTTGAGAAGTAGAAGCATTTCGCTTTGGTAACAAGCTCGTCAGTTCTATTGACTTGTTCGTCTGTTGCGGGAGTTCCTGGCTGGCCAAGGATAACTGCTAAGCCAAGCTTGAACTCTGGATCCTCGGTAAAAGAGTAAGAAGAGAGCCTTTGATATATATCTGTAGAGTCTGACGTTGAACTCGTCGGAGCTGGATCTGCAGATGCTATCGCGGGGGAAGCCATCGCAGAGTGAGTAAGCTTTATATAATGCGTAGGCTCGGATATCAACTTATACAGGTGTTTAAAAAGTTTGTTGATGTTGTTACCGCCCTGCAAATGATATGTGTTTTCTCCTTCGAGGGCTGAGTTAGATACTGAATGTTGAATCTAGTGAATTAGTTATTGATTGAACAGGAGATGTAAAGAAATGACGTTTGAATAAAGGACCGAGGCACGGATAGCTGTATGATATATTACAGTAATACCTATTACGAATATTTTACCGGGAGCGGATAATTTAGCGCCGTTACTAGGTTTCAATGGCCAAACCTTCTTTTCTGGGAACTGCCTAGCCAGGGAAGGTGCAGGGATGGAAAATCAACGATTAAACGGAGTAGAAAGAACGCAATGGTAAGGGAAACCTAGAAGAATCATCGATGGTAGAGAAAATGGCGGACTTTAGCTGCAAGGTACCCTGTATGATAATACGGACGAGCTTTGGCGAGTCATGTACAAACTTATAAGATACGGAGCATATAAGAGATACAGAGCTGAAGTTGACTCTGTACAACAAAAAAAACATGCGGTTTGATATATTCAAATCACTACTGGCTAAATTAGAAGTTGGTATTGATATGCCGTTGGATAGGTGCAAAAAGCCAACCAAACCAAAAACGCCAATAACATTCCTTTTGAATGAGTTTGCTTTTGTAGAGCAAGATGCTTATTTCGAAAATGATGGCAGGGGCAAAGTATAATACACAGGTCAATCAGGTCGTTGCGTCGATGATAGGAGTGAATAGTGAAATGCACAAAGTGTCTGTTCAACCGGTATTCATTGCATCACCATTGTCGGCAGGTTGAGAGTTTTGTGAGTGCCCGTTTGTATGAGGCTGGGGTTTTGCTGCTGGGTTAGAGCTAGAGTCCACATCCAGGGGTTTACCGCTCTGACAGCCGGGGCAGTTATGGACAACTTCGTGAGCAAAGACGTCGCAGTCAATGCAGAAGTGGTGATGGCAAACTGTACATTCATACCTGCTGCTGACGGACATACCCTTGATGGACCTATCTCGCATGTCCCATTTATCCCGTGGAGGCACAGCAGGGAAAGGATTGCCACAAGCAAAGCAACTGACACTTCTTGAGGCCCTTTTCCACGGAACCTCAACCCAATTTATCAATGGGAAAAGATGGTGGTATGATCGCGCCAAGTGGGTGGAGAGGATGAGCGTGAGGTTGCATGTTGGGCATTCGGCGGGTAAAGAACACACTTTACTGCCACACCGCGAACACATATAGCCGCCTCTAACGGGTTTGGAGTGGCATGCACAAAGTGAAGGGAAGGGCTCTACTGTGCGTGAAGGGAAACCCATCATGAGCAAGGAGTTAGAGGAGTAGCGTTGCGAGTACGTTACCGGTGGAGTGGTGACGTCTAGCAGGAGGTCCCATAGATGCTTCTCATCTATAGCCACGCCGTAACTGGAGTCATTGCCATCGTTTGTTTTGGCACATATTTCACGGCATATGGCTACGTCGGCGGCTAGACCAATTATGCCTACCCGTACCTTGTCTGCCACCAAAGAAGTGATCGTTTGGTGAATATCACCCGGATCCGATGAGAGGAGGGCCCCAAGGATAATAATAACTTCTCGGGTACCGTGGGATGGGGTGTGGCTTGTTTGAATGTTAGCTTTCGTATGTTATCAATGGTTAAAGAAAAAAGTAGTAGCACGCACTATAGAGATCCTCGGGCCATCTCGAGAGCGTTTTGCAAACTTGGTAGGCCCTTTGGGTCTTCTGCCCGCAAGGCGTGGAGAGCCAACATATGTTCGGTTGGGTTACCGCTCATTTCGCTGATCTGCACGGCTATACCATCCTTCATGCCCATGATGCCCAGCTGCGAAATGGGATTCTGCTCGAAGAACTCTTGCACGAACTTCTGCGCGTATCTGAGAGTGAGAAGGTATCTGGTCGGACGCAGGTCCTTCTCCGCCATGGCAAAGGAGAGGTCGAGGACAAGTATCATATGCCGTATTATACCTCGCTGTAGCGGTGTAGTATCCTTGAGCAACCTGCAAATTATCAACATCTTCTCTTTCGTCCTAAGCAGCCGATGTTTCCCCAGCGTAGAGAAGGAAAAAACACACCTCTTCCTCTTGTCGGCTTCAAGAAGGCCATCGACAGTGGCAGTGATGGTCCCATCCGCACCTTCTACCAGTGTCTCCCACGTCCTTGCTACCTCCCACTCCGCGCCTCCATGTTGCTTCCTTTTCTTCTTCTTTCTGCTCTTGCCGCCCCGGTCTCGATCCCTCCGTCGACTGCTGGCCGTCCGAGAGTCGACGATGTCATCTTCATCTTCGTCTTCTTCCTCGAGGTTTTCGTCCAGGTCGTCTACCGACGCTGCGTCGCTGTACTCCTCATCCGAGCGTGCCATCTGAGAAGCCCTCTCTTGGGGGATGACTGTTTCGAGACGCTGCCGCGCTAGAGATCAAGTCTTCTCGCGTGAAGTCGATCTCCTTCTGGCGCCTTGGCTGCAGCAAGTCGCGGCTGCAGGGTTAGGCGAAATTATTATTTATTTTTTTTTATCCTGAACTTCGTATCTTCAAGTTTGGGAACGGCGGACTTTTTTTATATAACCACCCAGTCGCTCGTTTTTCTTCTCTCTTTCTTCTTATTCTTGTCTTACTATATCAATTATATTAGCATAACTATATAATTACGGGGAATAGATACACATAGCCAACGGCCAACGGGCCAAGATAGCCGAACGAGCTAGCTTACCGAAGCTTGTCCTTCCAACGCCCCCTGCCGGCCTATATAACTACTTATATCCCATCTGCTGTCTCGCTGCCCGTCAGCCTGCTATAGGTCGCGTGCCTCTCCTGCGCTCGCCCGTCCGGCGGTGGTGGTGATGGTGATGGTGGTCGCGCTGGCGCTGCGCTGCGGTGGGCGCGCGGGAAGAAGCGTCGCTGCGGCTAAACATGGAGTGCGACGTCATGCCGCCCGCCCTGCGAGTTACTTCTCTTCCGCCGCGCTGCCCCTCTCTTCTGCCTCTTCCCTGTCCCCGCGGCCCCTCTTGATCTCGTCTCCGTCTCCGTCTCCGTCTTCTTCCTTTTCTTCGTCCTTTTCAACTTCTTCCTCTTCTTCTCCTGCTCGTTCACTAGCATCGTTATCCACCGTCAGGCCGGCTGCTGCTCGTAAGTCTGCCGGGTTAGCTATTCCACTCCAGAAAAGATCCTGCTCTGCCGAATTCCGCACGATGAACCCGAGCGACAGGGAGACGCTGCCAGACGTGTGAGTTGGACGGACCTCGTTGTGCCGGAAGATATGGAGAGAGGAGCATTGCTGATACAGATACAGGGCTAAGCCATCTCACTACCATGTCTCGCTGTACGATCTCACCATCGGCGGCAACTGGGGATACAAGGGAACTGTCAAGATAGACACCAAGATCACACGCCCTACCAAGGAGATTGTTGTCAATGTCAAGGCAATTGACGTCCAGTTGGCAGAGATCTCTGCCAAAGATGGTATATCGCCTCAGACCCGGGTGTCATTGAGTGTGTCTTGACATTTGTGTACTGACTGCCGCATAGGAAGTGCTGCCAGCAAGGCCACTGAGATCTCATACGACCGCAAGTCTGAACGTGCCATCTTCAAGTTTGACAGCGAGCTACAGCCGGCAGATATGCTGCTGACCATCTCCTTCACCGGAACTATCAACAACTACATGGCTGGTTTCTGCCGTGCTGGATACCAGTCGGCAGCTACTCCAGGACCTGCCACGCCCAAGGTTGGAGAGCAGCACTACATGCTTAGCACCCAATTCGAATCCTGTGATGCCAGACAGGCATTCCCTTGCTTCGATGAGCCTAATCTGAAGGCCACCTTTGATTTTGAGATCGAAATTACTAAGGGCTTGACGGCTCTCAGCAACATGCCTGTTAAGAGCAAGCGTGAGGGTAGCAAGCCTGACCTTGAGTTTGTCTCTTTTGAGCGGACTCCCATTATGAGCACCTATGTAAGTATTTACATATCTTCTTGAAAACGGGGTAGTTTGCTAATGATGTTGTGTTATAGCTCCTTGCCTGGGCTGTAGGTGACTTCGAGTACGTCGAGACGATGACTAAGCGCAAGTACAACGGCGCCAGTATCCCAGTCCGTGTTTATACCACCAGAGGCCTCAAGGAGCAGGCTCAGTTTGCCCTGGAATGTGCTTCCCAGACCTTGGACTACTTCTCCGACGTCTTTGAGATCGACTACCCTCTTCCCAAGTCTGACTTGCTAGCAGTCCATGAATTTGTAAGTGCGGTCCTTCATTTTATACATTACTACGGGTGGTAAATTAACTCAGTGAGTCCTAGGCCATGGGCGCCATGGAGAACTGGGGCCTTGTTACCTATCGAACCACCGCTGTCCTTTTCGAGGAAGGAAAGTCCGATGAGAAGTACAGAAACCGTGTTGCCTACGTTGTTGCCCACGGTATGCTCTCTACCCCATTCCCCCGTACCCCATATCCACATCTTACTAATCAATACATAGAATTGGCTCATCAATGGTTCGGTAACCTCGTTACCATGGACTGGTGGAACGAGCTTTGGCTCAACGAAGGTTTCGCTACCTGGGTCGGGTGGCTCGCCGTAGATCACTTCCACCCAGGTGAGTTTTACCCCCCCAAGTACTCTAGGAAATATATCCAAAGCTGACAGCCATTAGAATGGAATGTCTGGTCACAGTTTGTCGTACGTCACCGTAGAGGTACCTTGAATTTTGATAACCCCCATATTAACGGTTTTACAGACTGAGAGTGTTCAACAAGCCATGAAACTCGACTCTCTCCGCGCATCCCATGCCATCGAAGTTCCGGTACGAAACGCCCTCGAAGTTGACCAGATCTTCGACCACATCAGTTACTTGAAGGGAAGCTCCGTCATTCGTATGTTGAGTAGCCATCTCGGCCAGGAGGTCTTCCTCAAGGGTGTTGCCAAGTACCTCAAGGCCCATAAATATGGTAACAAATTTCAGGTCCCGCCATTACTGGAATAATGAATTCTGACTGTCTTTCAAGGCAATGCTACCACCAACGACCTCTGGTCTGCTCTTAGCGAAGTGTCTGGGAAGGATGTCACTTCTTTCATGGTTCGTCCTGTACTGCCGCGCTTATTATTTGATAACGCATACTAAGTTACATTAGGACCCATGGATCCGCAAGATCGGTTTCCCCGTTGTCAACGTCACTGAACAAACCAACCAGATCAATGTTGACCAACGACGATTCCTTGCATCTGGTGATGTTAAGCCAGAGGAGGATGAAACCATGTGGTGGATCCCACTCGGCATCAAATCTGGCCCCAAGGCAGAGAGTGCCAACGTCCGCAATTTGACCAAGAAGTCTGACTCGGTTGCTGACATCAACTGTAACGAGTTCTACAAGGTCAACAAGGACCAGTGTGGCTTCTACCACACTAACTACCCACAAGACCGACTCGTCAAGTTCGGTGACAGCAGAAACCTCCTCAGCTCTGAGGACAGAATCGGTTTGATTGGTGATGCTGCCTCTTTGGCTGTCTCTGGCGAGGGAAGCACCGTCTCCTTGCTCGCTCTTGTCGAGAAGTTCCAGGACGAAGCTGACTGCCTGTATGATAAACCCCTTTGCCTTATTGTACGCCCTTACTAACTTCTTCTAGTGTCTGGGCTCAAATTATGACTTCCCTTGGCAACTTGCGATCCATCTTTGGAACCCACGAGACTATCTCTAAGGGCCTGAAGGCTTATACCTGCAAACTCGTCACTCCTGCTGCTGAAAAGATCGGCTGGGAATTCAAGGACTGTGACGACTTCTTGACCAAGCAGCTCCGACAGATCCTCATTACTGCTGCTGGACGTTCTGGCCACGAAGGGTAAGCCGCCATTCGCACCCATCTAAGCCACAGACCGTTATTCTAACTTGTATAATACAGCACCGTTGCCGAAGCCAAGCGTCGTTTCAAGGCCTGGGCCGATGGTGATAAGTCTGCCATTCACACTAACCTCCGATCTGCTGTCTTCTCCATCAACATGGGAGAGGGTGGTCGCCCTGAGTATGATCTGCTGGTTAAGGAGTACGAGACCAACACAACCATCGATGGAAAGGAGATTTGCCTTGGTGCTCTCTCCCGTGCCACCGACCCTGAGCTCATCAAGGAATTCCTGGAGTTCCTCTTCTCGCCCAAGGTCTCTGGACAGGATGTTCACACCGGTGGGTCGGGCTTGGCCGCTAACCCCAAGGGCCGCTACCTCATGTGGGACTTTATCAAAGCCAACTGGAACCGTATTGAGGAGAAGTTGGGTGCCAATAAGGTCCTGCTTCAGCGCTTCCTGCGTCTCAGCTTGATCAAGTACGCCGATAAAGAAGTTGAACAGGACATCACCAAGTTCTTCTCCGACAAGGACCAGGAAGGCTACGACCGTGCACTTGTCATCGCAGCGGACACCATCAAGTCCAACGCCAGCTACCGCGAGAGAGAGGAGAAGGCTATCCTTGAGTGGCTCACCCAGCGTGGCTACGTATAAACACCCGGGCGGCCATCACATCACATGGTCTGGCCGGCTTTGTAAATACGCATAACCGCCGATGGCATTTCCTTCGTTTTCCTTCGTGCCACCCGACTGGCACTGAGCACATGAGCAGCTCTAAAAAACCAAATCTCTATGTATCTTAACGTCATAATATACATGTAATGTGTATCCACCGTTGGCTTATACTGTCAAGTGTTGCTGTAGCCTCAGAGACTAGTACCGCTGTGTACCTCACAGCGTAAAATTGTATGTGAAGATACTTCTAGGTACATCCGCCATATTCTTCCCAAAACAGCCTAGCGCCGCCATGGATCGCAGCGTATCACGTTGTTTCAACCTTCACCTCGCTCTCTTCTTCTTTCCGCCTCTCAAGCCAGCAAAGCAGAGCAAAGCAAGCAACGGCAGCATCATCGACCAGCAGCAAACTCGCATCTCCAGCACTCTGCTTGACTACCGCATCTCCAGCCCGCCAGCCTGATACCGCGCCCGTCTCGACCTCGACACGCTCCAGCCGAACAGCAGCCAGCTATCTGACGTCGCCTTTTGCCTCTTTCCCCCCTCTCTCTATCCCATCACCACCTTGTCGCCTTCATAATGACTCCTGAGTAGTAAGTGCCCTTATTTCTACCAGCAACTCCCTGTCCTCCCGCGGAACCGTAGACTATTCCCTATCCGATGGAAATATAGCTGAACTAACCGCCGGATGACTATTATAGAGCTTCCTCCCGCGGCTGACGACACCCAAACCTCCCAATAAGGCAAAACACACACATACCCGCTTCAATATTGCAGTCGCCACCATGCATATATACAGTTGATATTATACTGATTTGCTTGCTCGCGATTAGATACGACTACTTGTTCAAACTCCTCCTCATCGGTGACTCCGGTGTCGGAAAGTCTTGTTTGCTTCTCAGATTTGCAGATGATACTTATACAGAAAGCTACATTTCTACTATCGGTGTTGACTTCGTATGTGGGAACTTGACCTGATGGCGGAATAGATGAATATTCTAACGAAGAATAGAAAATCCGAACAATCGAACTCGATGGAAAAACCGTCAAACTCCAGATCGTACGTAGCCTGCTGCCTGCTGCCTGCTACCTTTCACCGACTAATGCCACTTGTATTTTGTCACTAACTTTCTTTTGCTTTACAGTGGGATACAGCTGGCCAAGAACGATTCCGAACCATCACATCCTCCTACTACCGAGGCGCTCATGGAATCTGCGTGGTTTACGACGTGACGGATATGGACTCTTTCAATAACGTCAAGCAGTGGCTGCAAGAAATTGACCGTTACGCCACACAGGGCGTCAACAAGCTGCTTGTAGGCAACAAGAGTGATATGGAAGACAAGAAGGTCGTTGAATACACTGTTGCAAAGGTTCGTATTACCACCCCCCGCCATATCTGCGAACTGTTAAGCCCTCTGCTAATGCGTTCCAACTACAGGAATTCGCTGATAGTCTCGGCATTCCATTTTTGGAAACTTCTGCCAAGAATGCTTCGAACGTCGAGCAAGCCTTCTTGACCATGGCCAGACAGATCAAGGAACGAATGGGCACCGCAACCGTCAACAACAAGCCTACTGTCCAGGTTGGCCAGGGCCAAGGTGTCCAGTCGAATTCCGGCAGCTCATGCTGCTAAATTACCTTCCATATTTTACTCCTTACACCTCGACCAGTGCTGTGGTTATGCTAGGCCTTGCTTCCCTTCCCACGCTACAATCTGTCCTAATGTTTCTCCTTTGGCGTGAAATTTGGCATCATGAAAGTAGTGTTTCAACCGGAATTGGGTGGGGTGGGGTTTAATTTAATGTCGTTCTAAATGGGTTGTTTACACTTGGTTTTCATTTCCTTATTCTTCTCTCTTCCTCTTTTTTTTCTTATCTTTGTCTCTTTGCCCCCTTCATTTCTGCAATCCAGCCCGGATCTGTCTTACATACATAACCTATCTAGCTACATTCCTACCTTTCTACCTACCGATGTGCCACCATGCGTACCATACCATGACGAATTTGATTCCTCACCCCCTCCCATAGCACCAGCCCCGTTCCCGGACCCGCCCCGTGCCACGGCTCATTGACCACCACGGGAATGCCAGGCACCTACCCGTCTTATGACAAAAAAAGAAACCTAATGCTGCGTCCCCCCGTACTTCTGGCTTTGTGTGTGTGTGTATGTGTGTTTTATTTCGTTATCACCTGTTTCCTTTCTTTATTTTATAAATTCCCCGTCACCTGCTTGCTTGAAATATCTAATCAGGCCCTACCACCACAGCTGATTTGGAAGCATCTCTTCCCATTATTTCTTTTCCTCCCCTTTACTCCGTATACATGTTCCATTCTCTTCCCTTCTATTACCTACATATATTCTGTACTCCGTAAACGTCCAGGCTATCTTTAGAACTATGTTTTCATTAGTTTCCTGCGCTCCTGCATATCTTCCCGTAGTGCAGCCATCTGTACAGAGTAACTAGCACATGAAGAACTGTTTCTTTGTCTACCTGTATCTTCTTCCTTCGATCGTCTATCTTCCTTCCTTCCCCCTTTTTTTGGGCGTCAATCGGCGCTTAGTAATTATCCGAATCGGGAAGTGTCACGTGTCGATATTTCTCCGTGCCGAGGCTGCCTCCAATAAGGTCCTTTTATTTATTCGCGACTTCAGCCTCACGACATCGAATGCTGGGAGGTGGTGGTGATGATATACAGTTAAGACTTAGTGATGGAAGCGCTTGATATATCCCGCAGGGGAACACTATATATAATCTTTTTGGGCATGGACCCTTGTCAGGAGGGCACCTCGAGGAACTGATCATATTTTAATCGGCAAGGTTAAGAACTTAAGAATGGGAGAACGAAAAAGCAGAGGGCGCGTGGAAAGCAGCCGGCCTAGAGCTCCGGCTTGAAGGTTTCAACCCGATGTCCCTGCTTGGTCCACAGTGAGGATGGTCCTCAGTCTGGGTGCTGATGAACTAGTCCACCAGCCCCCGATATCCGCAGAGGTTATCTTTATCTATTCTCAGACCGAAAAAGCAATGCCGACATCGCTAGCCAGGCATTTTTGGCCGTAATTTCGACCGTTCGGCACCTATGCTCACTCCGAAACAGATGGCTAAGGACTCCTGAGTCCAAGCCCTCGCTCCGGCGCCCTGATCCTTCACATAGGCGGATGCGGTGATCTCCAGATGTACCGATACGTCTAACTAGCGAGCGTTTGGGCCTCGTACCAATGCTTTCTCCATTTTCTTTTTTAGGGGCTTTGAGCGTTCGCACGGCGCCATGGCGGCAAAGGATATCGAGGACGACCCGGGTTGACAGGACAAGTATGGGGGTACGAAGCAGCTTCCTTTATTCCTTCGGGGGTTGACCTGGAACGAACATCAACTTGCCTGTCAAGTCACCTTAGCTTCGTTTCTGATGTTTCCAATCTCATCATCCAAGAGATGAACACGAGCGATTGACACGCTTCTCCTTCCAAGAATTGAGTCTTGGACGAGCTGAACTCCTCCACTCTTCGACAGATCTTCTCGAAGACTGGGGAGAGAAATTATGTTACGCCGTATATATATATGTGCCCCGGCATATATGCATGGATAAGACCTCCCGACATCCAGGGCTTGGGAAACGCGGCAGGCACGAGATACTAGAGATCGATTCAATACTCGATGCTGCAGAGTTCGGACTGGGATCTACCTTAAAAATATGCAAAGTCCAGGATAGCGTAACGCCAAGCGTGTACAGGTCAACACTTTGGCTTACCATTTCGTGACATAGCATGTCCATAACCCAGGCGCCACAGCGTCTCTCCTCAGCCCGCCCCAATATATGTCCCTTGTTCCCTCCCAGTTTCAAAGCTTCCGTCTAAAACGCGGCTCCAGTTCGAGACGGGGACGGCCGGGCGGAGTATAAGCATGCATAGTTGGCAGCCACGGCCATCTTAACTGGCCTGAAGGTGTGGCAAGTCGAGGAACTCCCAAGAGCGGGCGATGCTGGCATCCAATAGCGGTCCGCTATCACAAAAATGAAAGTGTTCGCAAGCTTTCATGATTTTAACCTTATGCATCCATGTCAAGGTCTGCATGATGGTGATGGTGTTGTCGATTCCAACTTGCTTTTCCTGTGTCATGGGAAGGCTTGATTAATAGAGGCGTTCCTTTGACATATATGACTACCAAGCTGCCGACCTCGCCGAGAGAAAAGGCTAGAAGCATTTTTACGCCATGAAAGTCGTTTGCCCTGGAACGGTTAACTGTTGCCAGACCGTTTTATCATTGAAACGAGCACTACCCATACCCTCCTGTGTTCACTAATTTCACCTCATCCAATTCTTCCTTTGACTACAACTGATGGGACCCTAACAAGCCTCTCGAATCGAAATCCGCTGGGTGAGGTTTCCCAACTAACCGGCCGGATAGTCCCAACAACTAAACAAGGAGATTCGTCGAGGAGCATGGAGTCAAGTTGGGATATCGGCCAAGGGTCATCCAGTGATGATAAAGGACCTATGGTCCTCGGTGCCGCATGGCTTTCCTTCGTTATAGCGACGTTGGTGGTTGCAGTCCGGGTTTGGCTGCGCACTTGCCTTACAAAACTTTTCGGATGGGACGATGCCTTTATGTTCCCAGCACTGGTACGATTCTGTCTTTTTATTGATATTAACTCGGAGCAGGGTCTAACTCATTACTGCCAGATTTTTGGATGCGCGCATTCCGCTCTCGTCAACGCATCCGTTGATAACGGACTGGGCACTCACCAGGCCGACCTCACGAAAAGTCAAGTTATACAACTAACCAAATATTTCTGGCTCTCAGGGCCTATGCATGATTTGGCCGTGAACTGGGGAAAGGTGTCTGCTGCGTTGTTACTATTGCGTGTCGTGGACAAAGCAAAAAGTCACGCCATTTACTTCTACCTCGGGATAACCTTTCTCACGCTTGTCAACTCTGTGGACGTATTCATCATCTTAGGCCAGTGCAGGCCTACAGAAGCAGCATGGAATCCACTTATTCGAGGGAAATGCTGGGAAAAGAGCGTTGTGAAGACCTCAGCCTACTTTCAAAGCGGTTAGATGGACCTTCTCCTCCCGAGGCTGGGCTTTATGCTAACTACATATTCGTTTGTAGCATGTTGTTGTTTGTCTGATCTTATCCTGTCAGGATATCCTGTAATTGTGATATCCAAACTCCGAATGCCTCTTCGCACTAAAATCACACTTTCGTTAATCCTGTCGCTGAGTTTAATGTATGTGTTTTGCACACTTCCCCTGTTGAACTCGTCCTATTGAAGGTGCTAATTTTTGAAATCTGCAAAGTGCCTTTGTCGCACCTGTTATGAAGGCTTATTACATCTACCGCATTGGGAGTGACTCAGACTATTCCTGGAAGATGGCCGACCTGGCTATGTGGGGATCCTTAAAGCACTACCTGGTCATAGTTACGGCCTCGATACCCGCCCTCGGACCTCTAGGCAAACACCTCACACGCATAGCATCCTCGAATGGGTTTGGATGGTTCTCATACGGAGAAGACTCTCACTCATCCTCATATGCAACGAAGACAAAATCGCTAACGACAGTCACGGTCAGCTCTGGTCCCAGCAAGAAATTTTTCAGTGAGGATTATAGCGTATCGACTATGACTGGCGACGATAGCTACCCGATGTCTAAATACAGCAACGCATCCAAACATAGCGCCGGCCGCAAAAAACACAAGCATAAGCGAAAACAACATAGTGAAGTAGCGAGCAGTCAGGAGGCCATCGTCCAGCCCCCTGAACAGAATACGGATGAAATCACAAAAGTGACAGAAGTCTGTATACAGACAGAGTCGAAGGAAAACATTGCAGAGTACTGGGAACAGAGGATCAAGCCTTGGGAGGCTAGATCCCCTGTTTAATGATCTTTCCCTTCTTTTACGGTGGCAGTTTATCTATTTTTCAGGCACTAAGTTACGGGGCATTGGGAGGTTCACAAATGATTGTCATCGCCGGCGTCTGGCTGGTGCTGGCTTTTTTAAATTTTATTCAATTCAGCTCATAGCGAAACATCTATGTATTTATTTGTCTCCATATTCATTTTAATGTATTAACAGGAACTCCGTGATTCATGGAGCGAAGAAAACTGATGGTGTCCATATCGGGAAACAGCCGAGGCAAGTCGACCGCGGCTAAACGTCATATGATGAACACCCGGAGATTCTTCGTCCCAGGGATGAGAAAAATCACAAGGAGACGCAGAAAACAGCACGATCGGTTCTCTGCCGGGTTTCGACCGCCCTTTGGCACTTTCGATCTTCTAGTTATATAACTGCGTCTCCCTTTCCGCTAATTTCCTGTTTTTTCTCTGCCGTTTTCGCTGTTGATCGGTTACTTTTTTCTTCTGCGCTCAACTACTACTACCCTTTCTGCTCAGCATCTGTCTCAATCAATTAGACGATATACCATATATTTCATATACAAGATGTCTCAGTCTCAAGCAGCTGCTACTTCTGTAGCTCAAAAACCTAAGCCTGCGCCTACCATTGCTGCGCAACAGGGGGACAATATTGCGCATGCTTTGGCTGGCGCTGGTGGTGGAATCCTGTCCATGATCTTGACGTGCGATTTTCCCAACTTTCCTCTCATTAACCCGTCATTACTAGATGAATGCGCTAACTAAAGCCTTTTATGGTCATAGATATCCGCTGATCACACTCTCTACCCGTGCGCAGGTCGAATCGAAGCGTGCTGATTCTTCGACGATCGAGGCCATCCGCCATATCATCAAGCGAGAAGGCATCAGGGGGCTCTACTCTGGCCTAGAATCCGCCGTCTTTGGTATCAGCGTTACCAACTTCGTCTACTACTATTGGTACGAATGGACTCGCGCTGCATTCGAGAAAGCCGCTGCAAGAGCCGGCCGGGCTTCGAAGAAGCTTACAACTGCGGAATCGATGATTGCTGGCGCACTGGCTGGCAGCGCTACAGTGATGATTACCAACCCTATTTGGGTAGTAAATACCCGCATGACGGCTCAGCGATCATCCACTGAAGGCGGTGACAAGAAGGCGAAGACGACTATCGAGACGCTGAAGGACCTCTTGCGCCAGGAGGGCCCAGCGGCGCTCTTCGCTGGAGTTCTGCCGGCTCTTATCTTGGTCATCAACCCTATTCTGCAGTATACTTTCTTCGAGCAACTGAAGAACATTGTTGAGCGACGGAGAAAGATGACTGCCACAGATGCTTTCTATCTGGGCGCCCTCGGAAAGCTCCTAGCTACCTCCATCACCTACCCATACATCACCGTCAAGAGCCGGATGCATGTTGCCAACAAGGAGGGACCAAAGGAGAGTTTGAACGATAAGTTCAAGAAGATCATCAAGGAGGAAGGATGGGCTGGTCTGTATAAAGGTGCGTTTAAAATCATATATCCTGATCCCACCCAGCGGGCAGTGTTAATTAACCCTGTGATTGATTATAGGAATTGGGCCCAAGGTCAGCCAGAGTGTTCTAACTGCTGCCTTCCTGTTTGCCTTCAAGGACGTCCTCTACGACAGCATGGTTGCTCTCCGCCGACGAACTATCCGGAAGTAAATGACCCCTGAGAAGCAGCAGGAGGCATTTTTTCCGCGGTTTCTTGATAAGCTCTTTAAAAAAAGAGCCGGAGCCAAGGGGCAAGACGTAGCCCCATTGTACAAATACACAAATCCCTCTAATTTAGCTAGACAAAATATTCAACCTCAACACCCTTTCTCCTTCGTCGGACATCCTTCCTCCTTGTACGTTGACGTGGTGGAAGGAAACTGCTATAATTACCAGCTGGCCCTCTATATAAGCATGGACCCCGTACTGTCAAAGTTAAAGCTGGACCTGTGGCTCAATGGTAGAGTATCTGAGTCCGGATCAGGAGGCTGCAGGTTCGAGTCCTGCCAGGTTCGATTTTTTTTATTTTTCCCTCTTCCCTTATTTTAATTAATTTATTTTTTCCCCACAGTAGGTATGATATGTCTATAGTTGCATACTCACTCCTCTTTACTTGTCTTTATATATACCTTCTATGGGGCTACGTTTCGATACTCAAGTAAACCGTTAACGAGGAAAGAGGCGCAGCGAGTAGTTCTTATTACGTAATAAATAGATGATGATTGAAAATCGCGACCTCGATTTCTTTGGACGGACGCGACTCCACACGACACAACAGTCGATACTCACTAACTACTCTTGAGCCGTTGGCGGAAGCCAAATATCTATATAGCGGGATTTACCGTCTCGGTGCATAGAGTCTGATTACTTGGTTTTTGAGGCACATACTATATCCCCGTATGGCCTACTATTACTCTCCAGGCATCTTCAGCTAAGGAAAGCTTGTCGTATTGACTGGGGATAGTATTTCCAGTTGCTTGATATCCTATCTTCATCTGAACTCGGAAAACTCCGTTTATCATTCCAAGACCATCCCTTTTTTCACTTGCTACTGCATCTATGCAAGACTTTGGATGTGAAGACTCAGACGTATCGAAACTAGTATATATATATACACACACACATATATATATATATACCTATCTAGATGGTAAGGTGCCTTGAATCTTGTATTTGGGCTTGTTAGCGCTTAATGACTGACTAAAACTAGTAGTTTGAGAAGAAAGGCGCATCCTGCATAGCTTAGCCTATGGAGCTTGGTAAAACATCACTGCCTCGGAGAAGCAAACGGATTTCCCAGGTCCTAGGAACCGATTTCGATGATGGCGAAAATGATGTTGACCCCGAGCCGGAATTACAGCGGTTGCTTGAACAATTTCTATCCAGGGAAAATTCATCTTCGACACCAAGAGAGCCAAATCCATTAAAGAGAAAGGCTGAATGTCTAACTGATAGGCAGAACTTTCCTTGTGAAGTGGCTAAATCGGCTCCATCGATATCGACAGACAATTCTAAGAATATTTCTATCAAAAGGTCCCCCAAAAGGAGCACCGCGTCTATCAAGGGGGTTGCCTTGGCTAAGAGTGATAACCTGGAAAATGAGCCTTCCGGCATAATCGAGAACGATATCTCAGAAAATCACAACCATAATCGGTCAGAAGAAGCCAATAATGCTAATGATGTGTTCTTCTCAACTTCAGATGGCCCTAGTAGAATGCGGGCTTTGTTGCCCGAAGCAACGCAAGAAGATAATAACAACAACTTAGACCCGGAATCTTCCAATGTTGATTCCTCCCACTCTCAGTGCTCACCTCACACCTCATGGACGCTTCCTTCATCCGTTTCTCTTCGCTCTCGTTCATCAGAACCGCCCGGTAATGCCCAAATTCATCCTATTCATCCTACTATCCCTATTAAACGACCACGAGGAAGTCCACCAGCTCCACTAAACATGCCGAGAAGGAATAACAATTCAACTCCACAGCGGCGGTCTCGCCGTGAAAGAAAACAGCCAGCCAATTACTATGAGCCACCCCCCGGTTTTGCGGAAATCGAAGATGGCTATGAACCGACGGCTCCTGAAGAACCTATTGACCTCCAATACTCGCCACAGGTCCCAAGTTTGGCTAGGAAACGAGTTGACATTATACCTCCTCGATGTTTATATCGATCGAGACAACTATGTATCTTGCGAGAATTAAACTCTTCTTCGTGCCTCGACGAAGAGGATCCGCTGGTTCAATTTCCATATATCTTAGCGGATCAACGGGTCAACCACCCAAGGCTACTTCTGCGAGACAACCAGTACAGTAGCTTCATTTGCCATGTAGACTTCTCTACAAGCGAGATGAAAACAATCTATACCCTTCTTTGCGGGCATCAGATACCAGAGGACGAGACTCCTATTCAGGATCATCTCTTTCATGCTGTCCAATTTCTTGATGTTGAACTGATTACCAAAAGGATTCGAAGGTTAAAAGGTTTGCTTACCCTTCTACCCCCTGGTTTTGATCCAGCTCATCTATTCCTATCCCACGTGGGGATTCCCAAGGAGTATCAAAAAATACTCAAGCAAATTGAGAAAATACTTAGAGATACTCATCAGCCAGAAGGGTGTAAAAATACAGTTGCCAAAATTGGTCGTGCTAATATCAATTCTATACTTCAAGAATGTGATATTGTCAAGGGATTGCATCGCAGGAAAGCCGACTCTATTATGCGGTTCCTTTCCGATGCACAATCAAAGTCTCTCTCCAACATGCCCTCAAGCCTGGCTGTATACGCTTCTTCAGTCTCTCCACAAACACCGTTAGCCAGCTCAGATAATAAGTTGCCATCTGCAATGCTAAGATCTCGGCAACTGGGTCTCACAAACCATCGGGGACGGGACCCAGTCAACGTCAGTCTACGAACCCTGCATTCTAGGAGATGGGAATTATGGAAAACTTGGAAAGGCGCCTCACACGACGTCTTGGTGTTGTCATGGTCGCCAGATGGGACACAATTCATTGCGGGTACCAGCACACACTGTGAGGAAAACAACATGCAGTATAACCGCAATAACAACCTACTGTTGGGAGATCTAGTTACGGACTCTATAAGAGAGCTACCTGACCATAGAATACCCCGTCCTCTCATCTCCGGTGGGGAATTTACCAACCAGGCCTCGTACAACAACCTTGACCCGGATCTTTACATGACAATCAGTGCAGCGCAGTGGTCTAAAAAATACTTATATACGGCGAGCTACGATAAAACCGTAAGGGTTTGGGACACACAACCGGAAGTGGGTTGCATCCAGCAACTATTCCACCCTGAGAAGCTTGACGTTATGGCCATTTCTGATTGCCAGTACCGCCTTGTAGGTACTGGTTGTCAAGATACCACCCCAGTCAGGATCTGGTCTCCAATGTCAAACGGCACACATACTTGTGTTGAATTAGAAAGATATCAAGGATGTGCCCCGTCTTCGTTAGCATGGGGCACAAATCCTTCTTGCAGTGAGTTTTTAGCTGCAGGCATGTCGCAAAAGCTCGTTCGGTTAAACTCATCCGCCTCAGAGTGTGGATTAATTGTCCTTTGGCAGGTCGAAGCATCCAACGTCTGCCGATTTGATAAGTGGAAAATACCATTTCATATCTCGGACATCAAATGGCACCGGAATCAACCACTATTCATTGCAGGGTGTTCGACACCCCAGCAACTTGCTTATTCGAATTTAACCAGTGTGCGGTCAGTAGTTAATCTCTATGATCCGTTGAGGACACACTGCGAAGTCAGCTCCTTCCAGTGCCCGGCCTTGGACATTAATGAAATTACTTTCTGTCCGAGCAACGATAACTATGTCACCGCCAGTTGTACTGACAATCTGACTTACGTTTATGACCGCCGTAACCCATCTAGCGTGCTCCATAAACTTGGGCATGGGAAGCCCATTCACCAATTGGATACCTCTGTTACACAAGAAGAGGATGATACCGGCGTTTGTTTGGCAACGTGGAGTGGTTCTACATTCTTTACAGGAGGCTCGGATGGAGTTGTTAAAACGTGGGACATAAGACGGTCTGCAGACGATCTAATTTTCGAGGATATTGCCACTTTCAATCACGGGGTTATGTCCGGCGCTTTATCTCCAGACCACACGAATTTAGTAATTGGTGATAGTGGTGGATCTGTCCATATCCTCTCAACAGCGCCTTTTAGCCGGGAGAACGATTTAGATCTAGCCTACCATGCCGCTGAAGTGAATACCCAAACCAATAACGACTGCGAAGAATCTGTGGCCGGTATCTTGGAGTCGAAGAGACTGGTAGCCTCTGGGAAGCTCACTCGTCATCCCATCTTTGGGTTTGGTAAAGGCCCCCTATATGAAGGGCCTTACGCCACCTGGGCTCGGCCACCAGGGACGTCTCCTAATGAGATATCGTACACCCCATTGGAACCAGCCATTCAAGCTGAACAATTAGATGGCCCACCAGTCTCTCAAAGACAGCTTCTGGATCAAGATGGTCAACGTCGTGTTCATCGGCATATCTCACTAGCTCTAGCTCGAAATCGGGAAAGCGGACCAGCTAGATCTCCTCGCAAGGGCAGCAAGGCCCGGCGCCTGACCGAGCCGGTCGCGCCATCGGCCTCTCAGATCCCTCAAATTGCTCCAAGAGAAACAATCGAGAGCAGCAGTGAGGAAAGCGACATTGTCTCCAGACCGAAGCGCCGTAGGTATCCATTACGATCCCCCCGCAAAACCAAGAAGCAATCATTGCGGCCGAAAAAGCCTATATGCATTGACTTAACTGGTGACACATCAGAGGATGAGCGTCCAAGCTCATCTTCCATGTCTTCATACGCCACTTGCGATTCCCGACAGAAACTATACAAAGTAGAAACGGATCTCCTAGAGGAGGATAATTGGTGGCCTAATAGTGAAGATGTTACAGGCCTTGGGTTGTAGGATAGACTAGTTTAATTAGAGTAATGAAATTACGACTTTTACCCTCCCATGCAATTTTTCCTTCCATTTGCAGGATTCAATGCCGCACTTTTCCAATGCTATCTGGGTTGCATTATCTAGCAATGTTACCAATATTATAATAGCAGGTTTCTTCTCTGTAGTATCTGACGGGTAGTGTTAATTAGGAGCTCGGTAACTAGTTGGTAGTTAAATTAGGTAACTTGATAAAAATTTGGGATGACGTCGTTCCTGGCTGAGAACACTTTAGTTTCTAGCTCCATAGCAATTTTATTTTATGTCAACACATCAGAGACAAGAAATGAGTTTACCACTTGGACACGACCGATAACTAGGCCTTTACAAATATCTCTTTTGGAGTTACATTCAGTGGTTGAATATTTAACCATCGTCCTATCAAACGACTGTGTTTGTTGCCAACGTCAATTCCATCGATTGACTGCGGGGATAACAATTTCGCAAGCACTCGCACTCCATGAATATCGAAGATCGGATAATTGAGAATGAAGACCTGGCCGAAGAGATCGATGCCGTCAATGCCATATACGACCCGTCTACGATAACACCTACATCCTCGTCTCCGCACGCCGAATTGGCCGTAAAGTACACGATAATACTTACAATACCCAACCATGAGACAGTCTCGTTTCTGCTAGGATTTGATTCCAACTATCCAACAACCCCTCCGCGTGTTCTTGGACCTGCATCCAGCGGAGCGAGAGGCGAAGGGAAGAGATATGCAGATATATTAGCAGACTCCGTTAAAAGAGTATGGACGGAAGGGTCGGTTTGTCTTTACGATTTGATCGTCGATGCAGAGGAGCAGTTTAATGAAATAAAATCGGCACAGAACGAGAAAGAAAAGAACGACAATACTCCGCCAACAGAGGAACCGTCTACGTCTACGCTTGAAGAGAAGGATATACATTCCCTTGGCCTGGCTACCCCGCCGCCGTGGGTGATATCGGATCCGATTACAGAGAAGAAATCTGTCTTTGTGGCGCGAGCAGCGACAGTAGAATCCAAGGAGCAGGCCGAGAAATATCTTGACCATCTCCTCGCTACAGAAAAGAAGGTCGCATCTGCAACCCACAATATCACTGCATGGCGCATCCGGCAATCCCAGCAATCTTCAAACGACCAGCAACAACAGCCAGGTCGCGACACTGTTGTTCAAGATTTTGATGACGACGGCGAAACGGCAGCTGGCGGAAGACTGCTACATCTCATGCAGTTGATGGATGTCTGGGACGTTGTGGTCGTTGTGACAAGATGGTATGGCGGAGTAAAACTTGGGCCTGATCGTTTTCGAATTATCAACGCTGCTGCCAGGGATGCATTGATCAAGGGAGGATTCGAAAAAGCTCAATCGACAGAGAAAGGGAAGAAGAAAGGAAAGAAATGAACAGTGCCAGATACAGAGCGTGCTTTGCCATGGCGCTCCAACGTGTATGTAGTCGAAAGGGAAGACGTGGTGTTCTTCCCCCCTAGCACGGAAATGACTACCCATTCCCTGCTTCATAAAAGACGTGGACTCGAGGGTCCGTGGCAACTCTCTTCAGAATCGTCGGGCCAGAATGTTACTTGAAACGGGGCACATACCCCAAGTCACGTCAATTCTGGGGGAATATGTTTCGAATTCACTAGAGCCAAAAGGCTTCTCCCACGATGTATGGCTTCCCGCCAGACTCTGGCGGAAATGAGAATTTCAGCATACTACGGAAGACACCTCTCATCACTGGTAGAGCCAGGAACTCAGACGCTATTTGGCTATAAAATGAAACATGTCATAAATTGTTAGACGAGAATAAAGACTGGGTAGACGTGAGTATCCGGAATCGTCAAACGAAGCACGGAACTTATCGCAGGTTGATATATTTCAAAGTCTTTTATTTGCTCCTGAATACTGCTCCTGTCATTCTATACATAGCCCTTAACATCCCATTGATGGTTACTTTAACGCAGCTGTAGCATGCTTACTGAGTAGCGAATGCACTTTATGAGAAAGGGAGCCGTTTGGGCTTCATGTGCGAGCCTTACGTGACTCAGACAAGGAAAGAGACACCCCGTCTGCTTGTCTGTTTTAACTGGCGCCTTGTGTATGTATCTGCAAAGTCCTCGAAGGATCACATTCAGGGCAACCCACCTTGTGAAGGAAATACAAGGCAGATATTTCAAATGCCACCATGAACTGTATGCACGTACTATACGGAGTGCTCCGTAGATATTCAGAAATTTCGTCAGGGGTTGACCCTGTAAAAGCAGCATTGATCATTATCTTACCGCCGAGTCATGGTCCAGGGTGGTCATAATTTTAGAACAGTCGACGCAAATCGAACAGCGTGCCTCAGCGCAAGATTGCCCGTTCCCCAAATTCCAAATTTCAACTGAAATGAGATCTCATGTTGTTTCCCGAAATGGATGGGGCAGAATAACTACGTCAGAGGCTTGTGAGCCATCGACAGAACCATCGAGAGGAAGACACGGGTCAGATGGCCGGTTCTCGGTCGCTTTTGTGGGTGTTGCCGTACCTGTGGGTTTGGCTGTGGTCAGACTTGCCTCTGAGCCACGGATCAGCCATTTTTCGGTCAAACGCAAACGTAGATCTTTGCCATCCCACATAAAACCCTGGATGGGCACTGATACTCTGGAGGATTCCATGTAGAAGGGTGAAAGTTCTGTCCGGGATCGCTTCGAAGTCGGCGGTTAGGATTGAATAGCAGTGCAGAATACCCCGGTTCCCAAGGCTCGCGCCGTTATATCTGTGTCTCCTCTAGATGTTCGGATAAATGGTGGTGGGCAGGGGGTCCCCGTTTGAGCGCCAACTACGGAGGCTGTTTCAGGTTTTCATTCCAGATGCATCTGAGTGGTTGTACACCCCTGAACGGGCTTGGATCTCTCACAAGCCATTTAAATACATAAACCAATGAGAAATTCGCCCTGGCATACGCCCTCAACGAGGGTGGATCGCCTGCAAAGATCGGAAAACAGCGAGCGACCAGTTGAAGATCTGGCAAGGGCCTCTGCTGGGATCTTCCACCAATCCATGTGGCGGATTGGACTTTTATCAAGGACAACAACCATGCCCAGCTGCCAGGAGCGGGGAATCCTAGCCGTCATTTGTTGTTGGCGGTTAGGAGACATCCGAATTCGCCTGAGATCATCGAGTTGGTTGCTCGTCTTGCTCATTTGCAGTGTGGATTGCAGATAATATGGACCCTCTGCGAGGCCAGACACCATCCATGTGTTAGATGATGCTTCCACAGGCGAAAGATGATAGGGCTCTTGCTGGCAAGATTAAGCCGTTCGCCCTGGCATATACACGCAACACAGCAGCGGCAGGAAAATGGCCCTTCCTCACTGAACAAGCGAATGAGAGGGCGATGCCCAACACCACCACATGCAAGCTTTTTCACTTTTCATTCACTTAACGTTTCTGACCCTGGACAAGACTGACAAGTTCTTGGGGCTGCCGAATCGCCCAATGTGGCGCGAAAGAAATTACTTTTCTTTCCTTTTTGTTTATCACGATGGATTCCATCTCAGTAACTAAATGATATACGGAACCTACCGACTCAGCCGATGAGGAAGCGTGAATAGTGATCCCGCGGTGCTGGGCCACACTCGTCAGCTGTTGTGTGACATATTTTGCCATCATCGGCTTGGTGCCGCAACTCATCGTGGGGCTCTTCGTGGTTTCTTTTTCGGAGCAAGCCTAGCGTGTGGCTGCGTGGGGACAGGAGAGGGCCAATCCCGCTGTATATCCCCAGGAATCAAGAATTCAGGGCGCCAAAACTCCTCCTCCAGAGGCCCCTCTTGGGCGTTTCAAGTGTAGGTTTCTCATGTGCATGTCGTGGCCCGTCTTCATGTACCTACGTCTTGGATTGGCGAGTGGAAGGCCAGTCGGATGGCCCATCGTACAGGTCAGCTTGAGCATCCCAAGGCACCAGGGGCTTGTGGAACAGGCAGACTTCGGCAGTTGGATGGATTCGCGATGGGCTTGCATATACTGGCAGGCGGAGCCAGAAAAAAACTATTAAAGACCGTCACTCCTCCTCTGTCTTTCCGGTTTTCTCTTCTTTTTCATCACGCTGGAACGTTTCGACTCGATCTACTCTTGTTCATTAGATTCTCTCCTTTAGGGCCAGTCCCCTTTTTCTTCTTTTTTATACACACTCCTTACCTGCTTGCCTGTGGCACCGCAGAAGAACATCACATTCCTTTTCCAAAAAAGCATTTGCATCTTTGTGTCCAAATCGTATAGTTCGGGTTCTCCCAGCTGAATTATATCTTCGAGGTGAGACATGCTCAATTGTTGTGGTTGTTGTTGCTGCTATTGTTGCTATTGATATGTGCCGGAGTGTGTTGTTGGTGTTGCTCGTTGGTGATGATGTCGGGAATTTCCTCTTCGGGAGATTTCTACTTCATCCATCTTCTTCCACCAAAACGAACTTCACTTCTAGCAAAGTTGAGTGACATCTACGCGGAGCTAGCACTGACTGTTTGATCAATTAGCAATCTGCAACTGTCGACAAAGTTCCGTCAGAGCTGCTATCTTTCTTTACATTTACGTCGTCTGGCACGAAGTGATTGAAAGAAGGATATATAAAGCCTCATCGTCAACTTTGATCACCTTCATTCCTTAACAACTTCAAAGTTTTATCGTGTCGAACGTTTCCATACCACTCTTTTCAAGAAGACCAAACAACAACATCAACAAACACCGCAGCTATGGTTTACTCTAAAGCATTCGTTGCCGCTGCTGCCACCTTCATGGGCCTCGCCAACGCCCATATGGTCATGGAGAGCCCAATCCCCTTCAACCCCGAGAACCTCGACAACGGTCCTCTGCTCAGAAGCGGAGCTGACTACCCTTGCAAGTTCACCGCGTCCAAGGAGACTGGTGGCAGCTATCTACCTGGAAAGTTCGACTCCAGCAAGAACGTATTTGCTATTGGCGAGAAAATTCCCCTGACCTTCAA